TTAAGACACAGAGACAGGGGGAGAGGAGAAAAAGTGCAGCAAAAGTAGCTAGTTAACTTTTGATTCTTAGTTATTTTCCTGGTCATATTCCTTCAGTTCCTGTCTTTCCTTGAGGTTTGAAGAGTTTTGAAAAGTGGGTTCAAATTTAGTTGTTGATTATTGAACAAATAAATTTTCAGAATCTGAAAATTCAGAATCTTGAGATCTTGACATGACGAATTTTCATTTTATAAAGTATCCGGATTTGGATTCTTACACACATTTCCGATGAGCAATTCGCATTTTATAGAATGTTTCTTCCTGGATGTCGATTTCTATCTTAACCTATCACAACCTGTGCTGATCATTTTATAGACTAGTTGGTTTTTCATTTTATAAACCAAAAAACCTATCCCACACATTTTATAAACCCACAAAGTTTATAAAATGCAAAATCAGCGCGCCTATGAACAATCACGGGGGATCCAAACAACAATATAGGAAACTGGCAATTTTTTGGATTGGTTCATCCAGGATGTCTGTATGTACTAAAGTGGACTGTTGATGAATAACATGAAGGGGGTGAAAGCCCTGAGTTTTCCTGTAGATTCACCATGATTCACCCTGGGTTTCCTGTTGATCTTCCCTCAAATCCATTACAGAAAACTCTTTTTCAACGAACTGAAGAGCCCCGACCCAACCCCCAGACGGTTTCTCACCGACGCTCCACCGACCGAGCTCCGGCAGGCTTGGACCTCGGTCCTTTAACGAGGCGCCGCTCGGGCCTTGGTTCGGTCGCCGCTTCGGAAGCCGGCGGTGCGTTCGGTGCGCGGTCCGTTCGGAACCGGCGATGCCCCTTAGAGTAGTATTCCGGAAGTGTCCAAGAATTGGTCAACGGTCAGAGCATTCTCTTTGGTCAGAGTAGTATTGGTCAGAGCATCCTCTGAAAGAGTTTTTCCCGGACTCTTCCGCAGAAAGTAGACAAGGAGCATCCTGTCTAAGTGTCCTGGCTGGACTACCCAGCTCACTGCCCCACACTGGTGAACATCTCCAGACATACAGGATGGTCCGGTTATTCGTTGCTATAGGATCTCGGAATATATAACCCAATTCTTCTTACAGTCATCTCTCGATCTACAGATGGAAAACATCTCTCTCATGCAGTGGCCCTCGTTTTGTCCTTGTTCTCAGGTATAGTCACAGAAATCCATCCAAATTAACAGCCCCTAGGGATCCACTGCCACCTTCTCAGGAGGTACGACTGGACCAGCCATACAGCGCCTACATAAATAGTCTCCAATACCTTTTGAGAAGGTACGACTGGATCCCTAAGGAGCGGACAGGGCCTCATCCAGTCCTCATCCTATCCTCATCGGCGAACGATACAAGACGACGCGACCTGTTGCATATGAATCCATACAGACAGGGGTGGTTGGTTGAAAAGAGGTCAGTCGACTGGGCAGTATATACCAGTCCCGTGGAATCCACATCAAACAGTTTGGACTCGTGGACTGTCAACCAGAGTTGCACAGGTGTTTCCACACCGTCATCAAATCTTTCGTTGACTGCAGGCGATTTGGCGACGACATCCATGTGGCGTAGCCCCACCACCCTGGCAGGTTGACCACCCTGGGACGTTTATTCTGTCGCTTGGCAACCAGGCTCCTCCCCGTGTTGACCGTGTTGACCCACCACGTTGTCCCTGTTGGACTGCGCAAGCGCACCACATGTACACCTTCGCTGATCATGTCTTCCGTCTCCGAAGCCACACCGCTCGCGGAGGCACCCGCGCACGTGTGTCCACGACGACGTGCGCACGGAAAAAACGAACCGTTTGGGCTCTCACGAGTCTCACGACGGAGTTTGTACAGCAAATTGCTTAATTGAAACGATTTTCACACATTTGAACACATCCGCAGTGTTCGAACTCGCACCTGTCTTGCTGATGTCATGCAGCAGTTCACTGCCACTCATTCAGATTGATTGCCTATCTTGTCCTATCTTCCTTCTGTGATCATCAATGCAAGTCGCTTACAATTAATGTACGAAAGACTGCTTTGCTTGGGAACACGTTCTGTGATTTTTCTTGCTATGATTGCTGTTTAAGGGTTTGGGGGTGCTCCGAACCTGCGGTTGCATGCGTAGTTTCTGCCGGCATGGACATGTTCTGACACGCTGCGTGTTCTGATACGCTGGCTGAAAGGGACCTGAAACACATATCCTGAGTCCAGTCCTGGGTCCCAAAAAAGACCGACATCAGACTGGAATCCTCGGTTCTGAGGGATATGATTCACTCTGCATTAATCCACGGTTGCGCCTGGATGTCTTTTTCCATCCCAGTTGCGCTGAACACAGCGATTCGGACGTCGGACTGTCCTGCTTCTTTGCTCGATAACTCAACGGCCTCGGTCGTTACCCCGAACGGGGGCCGAGAAGTGTATGAGAAGTGCATGTGAACTCGGAACCTTTGGAGCGAAAAAGGAAACGAGTGCTGGCTGCATCCTTCTGAGCTGCGGGCCGAACCACGCGCCCCTAGCTCCCAAGGGTCCTCCGAGGGGTGGGGAGAAAGGAAGGTGTTCAGTTTCTTCCCCCTGTCTAGCTTGACACTGGTTGACCGACAGCTCAGAACAAGAGCCTGGTGCGTCGGTTCGTGACCTAACGCGAGATCCTGGTTGGCTCGGTCACAGAGAGGCCAACAGGACACAAACGGGGATGCCAAACAGGTCACGAACTGAAGAAACTGAATGAGTTGCCCATAGGGTTCAGGTACCTCCTTTTCGGATGGTCTTCAAGCTGAGTACGCGTACTTCCAGAGAATGGTCGTTGCCTCGGGGGCCCTGGTCGCACATTCTCACGATGGTCCTGGACCCTTAGAGCTGTTTCAAGTCCCTAAGGATCCACATACGTTCGAAGGTACTTACATGGACCCAACCCTGGCACCGGCAAATAAGAGTGTCTTCACACATCACCGTACCATAACAGAAGGTACGAAAACGGTGTGTCCAGGGTTAAAAATAGGGAGACCTCCCAGTGCGAACGAAAGAAGGGACCAGGAGTCCTACCGATTGGTTGGGAGGTCCCCCAGGGACTTTGGTACGAAAACATCCCCCCCAGCGCTTGTCCCAAACTCATCGAGCGACCGCCGATGGAGCCGAGGGCATTGAGTGCACCCCGGTCACCCATTTGGAGAAGGAAGCCACCGATGGGGCTGTGGCTGTGGAGTCAAGGCATATATATGTTTGGGATGAAGTTGAAGAGTTGAGGTTTCCAACCATTTTGGAGTGTTTTTGTCTTTCCACCACCAAGTCATCTAAGACATAAGCCACTGAAACCCGAGTCACCCAGTTCGGTCACTTCCAACCTTTGTGCCCAGCGTCATCCAATGCTCCGAAGAGTCATTTGCAGTGGTCGATGGTCCATGGTCGTCCGCCAGGTCAGAACGTGGCGTTGCCCGCGGCGCGCAGTCTTCACTGCCGAGGTGGGGAAGACTGGAGGCTGAAAAGGTGCTAAATTGGAAGTTTATGGGGTTCCCTTTTCATTCATTCATATTCATTCAATGAGGGAGCAGATCATGGAAAACTAGGCTGCTTGACTGCTTGTTCCATAAATACTTCAGCTGCGTATGAACTTGCCACTTGCAACCTTGGGGTTGACCGCCAACAAGTAGCTGTGAAGTTGCAGCAGTTGAAGTTTGGAACCCGTCAACGCTTTTGCAAGTGAAGGGTCCTCCCCGGCACGATGTTTTTCCTGGTCTTGCTTAATGTGTGATTTTCCTGTTGGTTAAATCCCTTTCTGGGTAGTATTTGATTGTATTGTTTCCAGGTTCCGCAAATCCAAGTTTGTGACGAACCGCGATTCTTCACGCCTTGATGATTCGATCATCAAGCTGCAACAAATTGCCCAAGTTGCGAAGGGTTAAAGGTGATTTTCTCAAGGAGGAAGCAGTTTGGAAGACGCTCGGGCGTTGGCTAGACGCCTCGCCGCTTCGTCGAGTTCGACCCCATAACCCCTCAGAACTCCTCACCGGCGATCGTTCAAGCGGTGCACCAGTAAAATCCAGTGTAAAATCCCTGGCAATTCCCAGTGGTTTCATGACCCCTGGCACTTCCACCAGCCAGCTTTGTTTTAGTGAAATATACATCATATAATATATTAAATCATTGTGTGGTTTGTAATTTCATCAATCAATGAATACTTTGTAAATCTTTGTATAGTATTTAATATGTATAAATATATTATGGTTTCAACATGTTTCAACATAATGGACCACCAGCAAGGCAAATATATAATAGGGTCTTTGTATGTCTTCGTTAATAACACAGTCTAGTTTCATTTCCTACCTTTGTTGGGAAGAAGTAAACACAACAATCTCATCCAAAATCATCCACTGTCCTTCTCGAAAACTTACCAAATGCACAGTTTGACGAGGCACCGGTCTTTCTGGTCTACTCTTGTCACCCATCTCGCTAGGCACGCTTCTCGACGAGGCTAGTAGATTGGGGCGGGACGGACGGGGCCAGTATGTGGTGCACACGCAGTGATGTTGCAAGTCCCAGACACTCCATGTACGGAATATTTACGAATATGTATTACCTACATTGACCCCCCAAACAACCCCAATGTAGGCAACTATGGCAGTCCCATGGAGTGTTTTGGAATTGTTGCAATGTTCCAAACAAAGACGGACCGCAGTCCCTTTGACACGCATTTTCACCAGCGAAATGGAGAAGTAACCATAGTGATGCCTTAGAGACGTTCTTTGGGGGGGTGGAAGATGCAAAGACTTAAATACTCAGATTAGCTTCAGTGATGTGTTCTGGATGTCGAGAAACCCTTCATGTGGGCTGACCCCCTCGAAGCCAAAGGTCAGGTGAGCCCTCGACACAGAGCGTGTGGCGACGGCATCAGCGGGACCATTTGGCCAGACAAACGCAGACGGCTTGATACAAATGCCCGCCCAGAAAAAGCAAGGCAAAGGACTCAAAGGACAAGGCAAAAAATGGAGCCAGCCAGGTTCTCAGATGGAAGAAAAGAGGTGGCAAGCCTTGCTGCAAGACATGAAAAGGAGGGGGTACAAGCCAACACCCCATGAGGAGAAGATATCTCAAAACTTCCACAACGCAAAGAACAAATTTGAAGCCTTCCCAGATCTGTTTGGGCTTAAGGCTCGGCATGTCAGGTACCTGGTCCTGGTCCCAGCAACGCTCGAGATCTGCAAAAACCAGATCAAGGACGGTGAGGAGTACACATTGCACAGGACTAGATGTCTGGAAAGCATGGAAAAGGTTTACGAAGTCATGGACCAGCACCATCTTCACATCCCAGAAGATGCTTTTTGGAAGTTGAAAAAGGCTACAGACCTCTGTTTGCAGGTTGCAGCACGATATTTGGAGAAAGGATCAGGCTCAAGCTCAGGCCATGACCCACAGGACTGACCCCTGACCCTTGGCCGCCCCCAGTTGTCCAACCAAGGCTGCCTGAAAAGGGTCCCAGCACAAGCCTCAAGCCATGTTGGCTATCCTGGCCAAAAAGAAGAGAAAACTCTGTGCAAAAACAACCGGGGCAACCTTCAAAAAGCAAGGCAGCCTAGACATCGGGTTCCACCAGTTTACGAAGTCTGGGTGGTCTGAGGCTTGCAAGCAATTTCACCATCTTCAATCATTTTTGAACCCCTGTTGGAACCCCACTGGTCTCAAATAAAAGCACACAATGGGGACACAGGGTCCAGACAAAAGCCTTCCAGAAACACAATTGTTTGCAAGCGCCAGCCGGTATCATCATCGTTTTGACAACGAGAAAGGCAAGAAGTACACCTGGGCAACGACCGGCGTCTGGTTTAAGCAGTTGGAGTCAGAGCTGAAGAAACTATTCTCATTCGAAGGCGGAAAGCCCTTGGTGCTGAGGGATTCCTACACACATGGATTCTTGCAAAGCATGAGACTGCGAGTCAATTTGCTCATCTATGAAGCAGCTCTTTTGCAGGGCAGGTTGCAGCAGTGAGTCCGGCGTGCGGCAGCAAGTTGCCGCGGAATTGGGTTCAATTACGAGCGTTGTCAAGTTGTACTTGCAAGAGTTAGCGGGTGAGCACCAAGCTGATGTTGCCACAGCGCTGGGCTGGGACCCCTTCGACACGGAGCATTGGCAGTCCCAGCTCGCTGATGATCGATTGCCAAGGCCCCAACGCACAGCCTGTGCTGGGTGGCTGGTGCCTCTTCCGTGTCATGCCATCCTTCATCAGTTTAACTCTTGGGCCACGGTGCTCAGGTCTGAAGTGTTGCAGCAGCCTTTTGCGGGCATTGTGGGCCTTGAGGCCCTCTGCTTGCAAGTTTTTCCATGTGTGGGCCGGGGGGGCAAATCCAAGTGCTCTCACTCTATGCAAGTTGTTTACCCCCTTCTACAGGATCCACTTTACTGGATTCCTCAAGGCTCACGGGATCGCTCCAAGGATAAAGACACTAGCTGCTTGCGCCACTGCTACTCGCTCTTGCAACCCCAAACCCCCAACCCACCTCACGCCCGTCGTCATCATAATTATCATATGTGTGACCATCATAATCATCTTCGGATCATCTTCCGTTGCCCGCATTATGTGTGTAATCAGTTAGCTTGTGTAATCATAATACATCGTATCTAGTCATCATGTGTGTGTGTCCATCATAAACTGCCTCAAATCGCAACATCGACTCTACATCTAAAACGTTTGGAGATAGAATCTACATCTCAACGGTTCTTAAGTGGACATAAGTTGCTTCTAGGATTCCTTAAATGCCGGAGAACCGTCCCTCCGCAGCCTCATATGATTGAGAGACAGTGCAAAGTGGATCATCTCGTAAAACAGCTATACGGCTGCATGTGTTTTCTACAACCGGGTCATGCCACCCATTACTGCAGATTGACTAATTTAATACACTTGTGGGTCAAAACCTAGGAGGGCCCCATGCAACCAATCATCGGTTCGTCAACGACGGCCAGCTCCCTTTCCCTCTCGTCCGCACCGCAGCCCCCACGCCACCATTGGCGCCAGCGGAGCCCGAACCTCCACGAGGCCAAGACTGGGCGGCGAAGCTGCAGGGCAAGTCGAAATTCCCTCAGTCAGCCCATCCTAGCTATAGGTTCCCGCAGAGTGCGCAAGCAACCCCGATGATACTGGTATGTGCAAGCGAAGGTTACTAGAACTATTTTGAATCACGTGAAAACCAGAGGCCAACCCAACTGGTCAGGCATCATAGCCACAGCCCCGATTTTTGAAGTGGTTGTGTCGGAAAACACCGGTTTTGACCACTAAGTGGGGACAGCTGACAGAATGAAATAATACAACATATTAGTTTTTCAATGAAGGGCTGCAATCCACAAAATTGAAATTTATTTTTACCCACCACACTTTCCATACGCCGCGGCGTTTGGCGATCAAATTTGCAGTAACTGAATGCCTGTGTGTTTTCCTTTTCCACCATTTTTGGGAGTCCAAGTCCAGTAATTGCATCAGAACAATTTGGTTGGTTGACATCTGTTCACATACGTTATATAATATATATATATATATACATACACAGCACAAAGAAGAGAACAAGGCTATCAACACATGCTGCAGATCAAGAACATGTTGTTGCATATCTACACCGGATGTTCATAACATGGGTCCCCCCAAAGGCGGCTGCCTACGTCACGTGCGTTCGTGACGGACATGGGTGTCATCTCCATTCACCATTACCGAAGTACTCGGACCTTCCAGGAGTCACATGTCGGGGGCTGAACTTGGAGGATAGGAGGGCCCATTATCCACAGACTGGATAGGACTAAAAACCACCCCGACATGTGACTCCTGGATACTCCTGGTTGTTGTTTTTTGTTGGCCCCAATTTTGGATTTCTGAACCATGGAAGACGACAAAAAACACGTGTTGGTTGATCACTCCCACATGCGTCTTTCTCATCTGGTCCAAATGACCGGACCATCCACCAGGAAAACCACCTATCCGGATGGAGATGAAGACCTTTTCAGCGGATGGAACCCAAATCGGAGGACTCGATCTGACGACCCGACACGTGACTCAGTCGCTCCATGATCGCTCCTCACCCGACTCAGGACGGAAGAGCCGGAAAAGGATGGACAAGGACTCGGCGTCTCTGCGTTGGACTCGTGGGATCCTCCTGTCTGGGTGTCCCGTTCGACGACCCGTAAATAGGTCTCCAGACAGCAGGGCACCCGGACAGGAAGTGTGATTTCGTGGGTTTGTGTCATTTGGACGTTATATAAGGGTTTAGAGGGGTGTCCCATGAAGACCCAATGACACCAATGAGGGGCCAAGGTGATGTTCGCTTTTGATTTGCCATGATTTGCCAGACTGAAGCACCAGCCGCCGTTTGAATCCAACTCTTGAAGGTTGGCAAAACCGATGAAAAGGAACGTATTATTTTCATGTTCTCTGACCCTAAGTCGTTGCCAGAAATTGATGTTGGGTCGGAATCACCGATTCTGTGTTGTTTTCCCTTGGAGGTTCTCCAAATGATTGCAACCTGCCAGGTCGACCCTTGTGCACGCGTGCGAAGGTATCACCACTCCTCGGTGACCTTCCAACTAATGCGGAAAACCGGGTCAATGACCGACCAAAACGATATAATTGTTTGGTCGTTGGAAGAGCCAGGTGGACCAAAATGCACAGTCCATGAGGGGGCTGCCGGGCTAGGCATTTGCTGGGCTAGTCATTTTCGATCATTTCCAAGGCTATAGCCTATAGGGACCTAGGGATCCACATAATTACTCTGTGAGGTACTGTGATGTGTTCGACACTGTGATGCAGGTGCCACGGTCGAGCGTTGTACCGAACCTGAGGTTCGGTACGAAAACGGACCCCCAAAAAGGGATAGGACGCATCATGTCCGACCTTTTTGTCGCCGTGCAGCGCCATGCAGACGACCCCCCCCCCGTGCCAGCTCCCGTGCAGCGCGGCGATCGAGAGGATCCCAAAGAGTCCAGAGGCGATCAGGCCTTCGACGGGCAGAACTCCGCCTTTGGATGATCCTTCATTTGTTTTTTTCCTTTTGGGACCCGTGCCCCAAAACTGAACAAACATGAAAAAGACAAGGCTGCGGGCACGTCCTTGGAATTTGGGAGGTCCAGAACGGAGTGATGCATCCAAATCTGAGCCAAGTAGTTTTTGACTGTTCATTTGTTCTTGGGAGTTCCACCCGCCTCGTCTTCTTCTCCTCCTTTTTTTGGAAAAAGGGGTGGCAATAGAAAATCATAGAAACAATTTTGCGGGGCATTTCGTGGGGCCCAGTCAAACCCCTTCCAAGCTTCGGCCCCCCCCGCAAAAAAAGATAGATAAAAACTGTCCCCATCCGACTGCGGTGGTTTCAACTTCCAACCTTTACTTGGCGGCCACGTGTCCTCAGCTCTTTGTTGGTTTGTTTTCCTTGAAACGGCCATGTCTCGTTCCAGGGCGGTGTCTCTGTCTCGTCAGACGCGGTCGGTCTCCAGGCTTCGGCACCAAACGACGACGCCTCACCCGGTACGACATGGCACCCGAAACACCGAGTCCCACCGTAACGAAACGAGACGGTGCGACTGGAGCTCGTCCGGGACGGGTGGTTTCAGAGGTGAGTTCGATGGCACTGGCACCCCAACATGTCTTAGACAGATGGAGGTCATTGGGAGTGATTTGGGGGCTCTTGTGCCATCGACCTCTTCCACCGGACGAGACCCGCTGGTCAGACCATGCGGAACTCCAGGTTGGTGGTGTTGGTGTTCGAAAAGGGGGGAGCCAACCAGACCCGCGTAGGCCTCCACCAGGCCACAGGCGCCCCAGGGCGGGTGGAGGTCGAAAGCGGCAGTGAGTGAGTGCTTGCAAATCTGCAGGACAGAAACCCCCAAAGACCAAAGAGGTGGAGCTACGAAATCCCCCATGTCACACCCAGTGAAACACCACGACATGTCGACCAACGGATTTCGTCTGATTTCGGATCGAACCGTGGAACCGGGCAACAGAAGTGGTTTGGACCCGGATTTGGGTTTCTCCGCGTTGGTTCTGAAAGAGAACAGCGAAACGGAGCTCGGCGCCCGCGTTGCAGGGGAGGGAGATTCCTGCGGTGCTGAAGGACACCTCGGAGACGCCAGGATCTGAGAAGGAAACGACAGACAGTTATGCCGCGAGGTCGGAAGTTTGACACGCTGTTTTCCGAGGTTTCGATGGTTGTTTGAGTGTTTATTTGCCCCAAGAATCCGGGCCCCTGCAGCAACACATGAGGTGTTGAGGGTCCAGACCCCTTGCTATATGGAGGACCTGGCCCCTGCCATTGAGTGCCTCGAGGAAAGCAGTGAAATTGCTTTAGAACGCAAGACTTAAGAGAAGCAACGGGGTAACCCCGTTGCTGACTGGACCAGCAACCAGCCTGTTTCGTGTGTTTCCCAAAACAGGGGTCCAACGGGCTCGAAGTTCAAACGCACCACGGTCCGGTCATTCGGACATGGGGATGAACATCCACATGATTCTACTACATCACCCTGGACCCTCAGGAAAGATTAGAGTCATGGTTTGAGTTTTCCCATCCCGAAACCTATAGCAGCCTTCGTTTTACCACTCTTCATCCAGCGGTCCAGCGGTCCACGTGTTTTCGAAGTCCAGCGGTCCAGCCGATCGAGGTCGATTTCTGCTCAGCAACTGGCTGACCTTGAGGCAGATATGCGGCGTTTTTGTCGGTTGGTGCGAGCAATGTACCCCTGAGGGACACGGAGGGACAGAGCTTTTCTATGCTTTTTTACAATGCAAAATGGATCAATTCTGGATATGTGGCGAAGTGGTGCAGAAAAAGAATGTGTGTCTCGAGGTTTCTGCATATGTATGTGAGTCTGAGTATGTCCTGGGCTTGCTTGAGGTGATTTTTATTCTTCTTTGCGGGCAATGACCTTCTATAACGTCTATAACTGATTCGGGTCCGTTTCTCAACTCGGCTCCATTCCAAGACTTGGCTATCATATACATCCTGGGGATCAACCTGCAACCTGAAGACGGAGACCCACTTCTTAGTTTTGTGTCTGCCAGACCCCTTTGTTCTAGAAGTTTTGCATCTTGAAAAAAAAAGCAAAACAAAAGCAACAAAAAAGCAATCACAAAATGCAACCAGAAAAACAAAAGCAATCACAAAAGCAAAAAAAAAGCAACCCCAAAATGCAACCAGAAAAACAAAAGTAATCACAAAAGCAAAAAAAATGCAAAGAAAAAAGCAACCCCAAAATGCAACCAGAAAACAAAGCAATCATAAAAGCAAAAAACAAAGAAAAAAGCAACCCCAAAATGCAAATGTTTTACTACTACCACTACTACCACTACCACTACTGCTACTGCTACTGCTACTGCCTCCCCTACTACTACTACTACTGCTACTACTGCTACTACCACTACTACGACTACTACTACTACTACCACTACCACTACCACTACCACTACCACCACACCACCACTACTACTCCTCTACTACTTACTACCCCCAGCACTAGTCTAGCAAGGGCCTCTGCAGATTGACTGCAGATTCGGAATTCAACGCGTTGGAACCGAGCCTGGCGAGGGGGCTGGGTAGGGGTAGGGTTAGTGCCTGGGTGAGGACTTCCGGTCTTTTGGTCGCATTTTTTCGGCGCCGGGTCAGAAGTCGCACTTTTGGTCCCTTTTTTTTTCGGCGCCGGGCCAGAAGTCGCACTTTTGGTCCCTTTTTTTTGCTCTTTTTTTTCTTTTTTTAGTGGTGCCGTGAAAAAAGTCGCACTTTTGGTCGCTTTTTTTTCACTTTTTTTTCGCTCTTTTTTCGCTTTTTTTTCGCTTTTTTTTGCTTTTTTCGAGAAAGAGCGAAAAAAGAGCGAAAAAAAAGCGACCAAAAGTGCGACTTTTTTCCCGGTGCCGCCAAAAAAGCAAAAAAAAAGCAACCAAAAGTGCGCCAGAAAGGGGCCCTCCCCAAAAAGTGCGCCGGAAAGTGGGCCCTCCCCCAAAAGTGCACCAGAAAGGGTGGACCCTCCCCCAAAAGTGCACCAGAAAGGGCGCCACAGAAAGTGGACCCTCCCCAAAAGTGCACCAAAAAGGGCGCCAGTAAGTGGACCCTTCCCAAAAGCGCGCCAAAAAGTGCGCTAGAAAGCCCGGCTGAGTGCAGAAACCTCAGGGACCGTGTAGATGTCAGACACCCCAGATCTTTTTTGGACGGGTGTAGAGTGTAGAGTCCACCCAGTCGCTCACAGCTACTGCGCAAGGTGAGAAACCATCCAATGACTCCAATCATATTTTTGGAACCATTGGAACTCCAATCTAATCATATCATATCTGGATCCACCCACCAACCTCTTTGCGCTATTATACTATATATTGTATCGTTTAGGATGTCTAACTGGCCCCAACGTCGCCAATTACAGATTTTTATGTTTGTTTAGTCGCTCTTTGTTTTGCTTGTTTTTCTTGTTGCACTTTTGGTTGCTTTTTTTTGCTTTCTTGGTTGCTTTTTGTTTTGCTTGTGCTTTTTTGGTTGCACTTTTGGTTGCTTTTTTTTTGCTTTCTTGGTTGCTCTTTGTTTTGCTGGTGCTTTTTTAGTTTGCTTTTTTTTGCTTTTCTTTTGTTTTTTTTTCAAGTTCTAGGTTTTCTAGAATAAAGCCACCTCCGGTGGGCACAATCTTAGTTGACCTCGCGGTCTTCGGATGGAGCTGCCAAGAATACTTGCATTCTGCTTTGAACCATATTCTGTGGATCAGGGCAACGGCTTTCAGTGAAGGGACGAAAGAAACAAACTGAGCAAGAAGAGATGCCTTAAAATCCTCATTTATCCTTGATTAGGACTGAGAAAGACCCAACTGCTCGACCAATATTGCGTCCACGTCGCTGAGAATCACTTTCACCAGGCCATCGCCTCTACCTTGGGTGCCAGTGAGGCGATACCTCAGGCAGAGCTCTTGGCGCTGCCAGAGGCAGGACGGTCTTTGATCAACGAATGGCACGTCATCAGCACGAACCGGCATGTGGGTGGACCCGGATGGGTTGAGCAACAGACCTGGGCCATAAAAAGACGTGTAGACTCTCCAACAAAACACCACGTGGATTGAAACAACATGAAGTAACTCTTCATATGGGCGGTTTTATTGATCCATCGAGAGTGTTGCTGACCCAAGCCAACATGCTTTGATGGGGTTAAATGACTTGGCATTGAACTTAGCTTAGCAGCTTAGCATGGTTTGCGCTGCTAGCCACCACTCTCCCCAAGCACAAGTCAAGTCCGCACCTTTGACAGACGACAGTCCCGGTCGTTGGGGGTCCAAAGCTGCTCCCAATTGGTGAAGCCCATGGGGTCAACTCTTCAGTCCAAGTAGCTTCTTGTTAGTAGTAAGGCCAGGAGCCCCGTGCATAGCGTCCCTTGGTCCTAGTAGCGATGCCAGGAGCCCGGTGCGTAGCTTCTTGTTACGTTTGCAGCTGGCCAGGAGCCCGAGGTGGTTTTGGCAGAGAGCGAGGCTCCGATGCCAGGATTAGGCCAGGGAAACGGCGCGACCCCGGCGGACTTGGCGCGACTTGTCGCTTCGGTACCAGGGGCCGCCGGCCGCCATTGTTTGTACATGAATGTATGTGAATAGACTCAGTCGTGGCTGTGGCGGCTGTGGGGAAGCAGACGAGATCCTGACACAACCGTCAAAGTGGCTTGGAAAAGGACCAAGATGAGTGCAGGCAATTGCTGCGGCCAATTTGAAGCAACTCTATCAATTGAAGACCTTCTGGCGCTGCAAGTACCAGGCTACCTCGCCTCACGCATAAGGACAACCGGATATTAGGTATTTGAATGTACACTGTTGGAGAATCAACTCCACCATTTGGCAAAGAATCTTCATTTTTGGGGGGGTGTTTATCAACAGCCTACATGAGTTTTTGATATGTGTTTGTATGGCACACTGACTGTCTGCGACCTAGACAGAACTTTGCTGCCCCAACACATGACTCTGTGATCCATTCGCACATCCAACAACCTTGACCTGTGATGTAGACTTAGGACACATCATGGCCGAAATTATTGTAGTTTGGGCCGTGATCATGCCGGAGCATTGTGGTAGATGTCAAGTAGCATGTCCTCATCTCCACACATGGCATCCAGGCCATCCAAGACGAAAATCGATGAACATCTTCACTGCGGTCCGAGAACTCATCAGCCCTCCGGGCAGAACTCATCACACCGAATCCGATGCATCACACGTCCTCCGCGTGTGGAACAGCGGCCGACCACGTGAACTGCGGCTCGGAAGCGCGGCCGAACCGCTCGGAGACTGGCGGGTACAGTAAAACGGAGACCACGGTAGGGCCGGTGGGCACGGCATGTTGGAGGAAACCCTGCCCCACTTCATTCACATTCATTCACCAATTCACTTGGATATCTACAGTACCAATCAGTACCACAGGACACGTAAGTTTGGCCTTGCTCCATTGTGAGAATTTTGCATTGCTGGAACTTGCCACACCAAACTTCACCATGTCATCAACTTGCTTTTGAAAGGATTCGATCATGTCTGCGCCTGACATCAATGAGTTCTTGGAAAGGGTGGCACTAGCATTGGAAGTGGCCATGAAGGCTATTGGACTTGATGACTTGTAACTGGGCTGTATTTGGTGCTGTGTCAAGAACTGGTGTCTATACTTTGGCATTGACAATTGACATTGTGTCTGGAAATTTCTTGGTCAATTGCCCAAGGCCAGTCGTCCAGGCCTTCACTGACAGGCCGCTCAGTCGTGGGGGCCAGCGTCATATCCCAAAATGACGGTTGCCAAGACCAACCAAAAAAAAACACCTCCAGGCGGCCACTGCCACGCATGTGTCTCCAAGGCGAGCTCCGCCGTTCCCATCCCTGAAAACTCTGATGTAAGCAGAAGGTGGTACTGCGGAACCTGGTCTGGATTGCCCAAAGCTTCTGTGTGCCATGTCCGTCTGCCACTGAAAGAGGCCCTGAATCGAATTTGGACCTGAAGGTAGTTGGGAGGCGTCTTCTGCAGTCACGGCGTGGTCATCTACAGGCTCCTCAGCAGGTCAAGTGGAAGATTCTCTGCTAGAGAGCCAGCCACCAATTGTCAAAATGAAAAAGAGTGAAAAGTCAGGGTGAGTGAGAGGGTGTAAAAAGACTACTGAGTCCCAGTCTCAGTGACACTGACCCTGCGACTGTGACCAGTGACAACCATTAAACAAGAAACAGTTCGTTTCAAATCCAGCTTGTCATTTTCACTTTGAAGTCAAGTCGAGTCGCTGTCTGGTTCACCTTCCTCTTCCGTGGCGCCTGCCTGGTGCTAAGCTGACACCATACCAGTACATGGTGAACTGGTAGCTGCTCCAGACTCTTAGATCTCACTAAGCCACCCACGATGGAATTCAGATAGCCTGCTTGGAGAAGACAGAAAGGCGTCCCCGACCCAACAGGTTGCAACCAGCCTAGATGTGGTGGCTTGTCCAGCATTCACCTTAGCCTTGCATTCTCCATACTTTTGGCTTTTCCAGCCTGCCCTGCTTGCCCCCCCAAGCATGGGAACAAGCCAGCATCTTCAGCTTTGGACAATGCCTCCCCAATGTCCTTCAAAATCTCCTCAAAGCAGATTTCCTTAACTTCCAGGTGTTGGACAATTCCTCCACTTTGGCTTGAGCGACAAATATACCGACGGGTTTGCACTCCAGCAAGCCGGGCCCTTCCCCAGAGGAAAGAGAAGGAATGGTACCCGTGGAAAGCAAGCTGACTGCAGACTTTGCCAGAGCGTTGACAGCAGATCCACAAAACATTGTATTGTTCCCGGCTGGGAAGGCTGGAAAGGAAAAAGAGCCATCCTGGCTTGTCAACCCACCACTCTGACCTGGCACCCCATGCGTCACCATACCAAGACATGCCACGGCAGAGGAAGTGGCTGCTTTGGGTTGCCATTTTCAACGCCTTCTTTGGCTTTCTTGAGGCAGCTGGACTTCTTCAATCTGTGTGCACAAGGACTCGATGGAGCAGGATGATGGGCAAAGCAGTTGGTGGGGTCCAGCAGTTTGCTTGCGCATTAGACACCACAAACGATGGGGTGGCACCCACTTGCTGATGGCAGTGGTGAACTTAGTTGCCCTCCAACCCAGCAAGCTCTCCGGCACCTGGATGGGATGATGAGGAGCCGGAGGATGACTGGGGGCAGATGAGGAGGGGTGCAGTGGGGCAGGGCTCTTTTTCAGGAAGATGATGAAGCTGAAGACCAGCGAGCAAAGCCTGCGTGAAAACTCTGTGAATGATAATGTGATATAGCCATAGTTTGTGTGTCTGTTGCTCTGGCAATCCCTGCCAACTTTGACCGTTTCGCAAAAGGAGATCGACTCATCCGCCAAGAGCTGCAGAAGCTCATGTCATGGAGCTTGATCAGAACTTCCATGAGAAGAAGCCGCTGCTTACTTCATAGGAGCCTGTGCGAATCAAGGATCCCACCAAAGGGATGGTGGTCGGCTTTCCTGAGGAGCGAGATCCTAGAAAAAGCTCCCAGCTTTGTTGCTCGCAAGTACTTCAAAATCAGGAACCGAGAGCAGTACGGCAATGCGATTTACACAGAGTGTGCCTTGCGGCCTTGCGATGTTTCAGAAATCTTTTTCTTAAAAAATGATCTTTGATGTGTTGTCCTGGAAATCCTGGAATATGGACAGGGCTTGCTCATTCCTGCCCGCTCAGGATTTTTGAAGCTTTTGAAAGGAGATCCCGGAAGGAACTCTCGATAGCGTCTCCAAGCAGCGAAGAAGGCTGCGAAACTAGATGAACGATGTGAATGTTGTGATGCGCCCGGAGCTGCAGATATACTGAAGTATATCCGGCTGGAATTGTGTGAGGTGTCATGATGCGAGGGCAAAAAATTTTGCACAGGTGTGTTGCCTTTCTTCGGTGTTTGTCCTTCAATTCGTCACACGGGTTGAGGAAACATGTTCATTGTTGGCAATTTTTCCCAGTTTTGTTCACTTCTCGTCATGGGAACCTTGGGTCATGGCTTCTTAACCGGGTGTGCCGGGAGACATTGCGATAGTTTCGCAAATGTATACTGTTGCTCCAGCAACTTGTTCTAAGGATGTGCACATTGGACAGATTTTCCTGGCTCAAGGTTTCAGGAAAGGTTTTGTTCGAAGAGAGGGGATATAAGTTCCGCTGAATAAAAGTAAATGTGCACCAGAGTTCTGAGTTCCGATGGTATAGAACGTTCCCAAAGGAGTGGAGAATGGAAATGGAACTGCTGTTGGCTTGCGTTTCCGTTTTATTCGCGTTTGTACTTTGTAGCTTTGCATGTACTTTGCACAAAAACATGGATGTGTTCTTGCCAAGGCCCCCCTACCCACCTAGCTTTCATCTAAGTTGATCGAACATACGGGGTATACAGCGTACAGTATACTAGCGGTGCCCATCGAGCTGGCCATGTGTGCAATGATTCACACCAATATGTGATGGAACTGGAGATATTAACCTCTTGTCCTTCTGGGTAATCAACATCCAACACGATCCAACATAACTAACATAGCAACTAGTTGGGCATTCTTTACAGAGCAAAGTCATTCTCCCATCCCATTGGACACTTTCCGCAGATACGTCAGACAGGTTACATTTCAGGGCGCGCGCGCAAATCCTTCCAGAAGACGGCACTGGAGGCAGGCAGCGGGCGGGATGAAAAGCACACTAAAATGATCAAACTACACGATTGTCACTAAAAACTTTCACGGAACTTGACCTTGACTGCGACGCCCATCCAAAGATGCACTGGGGTTCCATGTGGGTGCTTGCAAAGTAGCATACATACCCTTGTTGCAAAGATCAAGGAATTTCTATGGGAACGCTGTTTGGTGTAGTAGTTCGCTGCCGAACTATCATCGATTGGGGGTATACCTAGTGAACATCCTGACACACGGACGTGGAAACTCCCTTGCGTAGAAGCCGACCTCTGCCAAGTGGGGCCTCAGAAACAAATTTTGCCTCAGACAGAGAGCAGACCACATGGATTTTTTTCTTGAGGGCGCTTGCGAACCTATAACATTGGTCCTTTTTGCAAGATGGCCCCAAGATAGTAGTTGGTAGTGGGAGTAGTAGGAGGAGGAGTCGTAAAGTAGTAGTAGTAGTAGTAGTAGTAGTAGTAGTAGTAGTAATGGTAGGAAGTAGTAGTAGTAGTAGTAGTAGTAGTAGCAGCAGCAGCAGTGTAGTAGTAGTACTAATCGTGGGGCCGTTTTGGGTCGTCTGAACTTATCTGCGCATGTTTCAGAGAATAAATAAGGAAGTTTAAGTATCTCCCACAAAGGTATCACTTTCCAGTGTGCAGACAGAATACGCACGACCACCAAAAATGAGGGGTGTGCAGGGTGTTTTGTCACCGCCATTTCGAATCGGTTCTGTCTCAAGGTGGGCACATCCGCCACGCTCACTCATGCCGTTGCTGCAAAAAGCTGCCACCCCATCACCTGGTAGGCGGGGTGACACCCCTGAGCAGGGACTCGGACACCTGCACAGGAAAAGTGCATTACCCAATGGACATGTTTTGGATATGGTTGTTTCTCCACTCAAACCCAAGTGGACAATTCTATGAACGCATGCATGAATGAACACGGGAAACACTGACACCCTGAGCTCGCGGGTGAGCAGATCTCAAGCAGTTTTCGTACGAATCCCACTCTGATCCCCTGAGCCTTCCGCGCCCCGAAACCCGTGGCATGCACTGCACCTGCTTGGTCCCAGGTGGACAGCTTTGCTCCAAGTGGGGCACAGGTCGTCGGGATGCCCAGTTAATGTTGCCCGGTTGGCAACATCAAAGGTATCGGTTAATACAAAAAAACTATACGTTTGGAAAACTGCAACCCTCTTTAGTGGTGAGCATCCCAGAGTTATTTCAGGGTTACTTGTGTTGTTCCTACTTGTAGGGCCAATTGTTTTTTTTGCTAGGGCTAGTTGTGTTATTTTTCCAGTGTTATTTGCGTTTCTTGCTAGGCTATTTGTGTTTTTTGTATAGGGTTATTTGTGTTTTCTTTGTTTGTTGTTTCTGCTTTTCGTTATAGTTTCTTCCTAAGATAGTTGAGGTTTTGTTTCCATTAATTCCAAGTTGGTGACAACCACACATATCATGGATGCAAGGAATATAGCCTATATGGTGGCTGGTTGTTTTTCCATGTACTTTTCCAGGAGAAAGTACATTTCATGTGTTTTGGGTGCAGAACACAAGTTTTGTCAATATGGCCCTGCATATGCAAGTCTTGGTGGCTCTTGCCAAGCTTGCCTACAAAAGGTCAAACAGCAGCATGTCCTTTCTTTTACTATGCACGA